ACGAATGACCCCTGTAGATGTAGCTGATGGGGAAAGCAATGAATAAGGGTAAAATCAATCCATGTAGAATGAATCGACTAGTAGCCAGAATAGTAGCTTTTTGTTCTGAAGAGAAAAAAAAGTTTAAGCAATGCAGTGGTAGTTAAGAATATTTGTGGACAGGAACTCAATGTTGGCATAGGCATTGTTAGGAGTACAGTTTTTGGGAGCGCGCACGGAAGATTTATAAGCAGTCTCGGACAATTCGTTACTTTCTTGTCTTCTATCACTAGTGGCCATTGTTTTAAGGTTCCTTAAGGGGTAACAGTAGCCAATTGAGAAGTAGTGTTCGTGCTTTACTTCAAACAATTAATAACTGTACAAATGTTAGGCACTCTTTGACAGTAATAAAGTTGCAATAGCGTTTGACATCAACGAATGAGGAACGAATGAAATGTGAGGAAAAATTAAAAGAAAGCAGGACGAAAGCGCCAAATATGACTCCGAATTTTTGAACATCTTACTATTTGGGCCGACACAATGATTCTAAGCTAAGAGTGATATATACAATTTCGTCACTAAAATATAAGATTGCTCTAAGTACGCAGATAAACATCGGATGACTGTAAGAGTTCACTTTTTACATGGTTACTGGCTCATTAGTTAGGAAAAGATTGTCAAGGGCAGTATGCTCAAAACTCTCCTAAGCCTTGAAACTAATAGCATTCTGTAACTGCTCTTCCATCTGACTCATAGGAATTTTTAGAAAATCCATCTGCACGGACATTTCTCAGATAATCTTCTTTTTCCTCTACTTTTTTCCTCCTTTTTCATGAGGAAATCGCACCGTTTGTTTGCTTTATAAATGTGTGTGAAAATGCAACTGGAAAAGAGAAAAATAACATTAAATTGTTCCATAAAACGTGTGCTCTTTAGTTTTACAATTGAGAGGTTTATCACTGGATGAGTAGTCAGTGCCGTATGGTGTATGGACGGACATACTGTCCACTGTTTTTCCATATTGTACTTTCATTCACTCTGACCTCTATATAGATCTAAACTAGTCTTTGTCATGTTGCGAAAACATTTTCTGTTTTACACCAGAATAAACAAGAATTTAGTGCTGTTACTAGGCGAGCTTTTAAATAAGCATATAAAGGTTCTTTCGTTAACTGAAGGACTGTGAAGAGCTGGTATTCCGGTCTTGTAAATTGAGGTGAATCGCTTGATAACATGTACTCGTTGATCAACCGGTCCGCTTTAATGACCAATAATTATTGCTAGAGTTGTTGACACAAAAGCCAAAATTTGATTTAAGAAACCGGGGTCTTGCATCATGCAGTCGATGGTCACTCTCGTGCGGTGGGTAATGTAGGAAAGCTTGCGTCTCTTTGAACGATGTTGAATTCAGCTCCTACTCATGATTGTGTACGGATGCCATATAATCATATAATTTTGAAGAACTTTCTGGACAGCAAGTCAATACTGATCTCGAAGTAGATGGTTAGAGCAGGCTTCCGCCATCAAGCTTTATAATGCAATCTACACTGACTTCTCCGTCCACCAGGAAGTCATGATAATCGAATAATAAGTTGGGGGCCATAAGTGCAAGATTGAAGTAGTTGAGTTTCAGGTTGTCTAACAATGGTGAATTTTATTGCCGATTGGTAATGGAAGGCCATTTCGTCTTGAAATTTTCAAAAAAATCCCTTGAGAGGTGGATATGCAGGTTTCAGGACCACCATTCCTTGTTTCTATATATTTCTGGCGCTCATCTACCCTTACAGTAAAAGATTATGTAATTGAAAGAGTTCAAAAGGTGCTAGAAGGATTATCGCGAGTCTCTTATGGTCGGGTTTTGGTGTTACTTAAATATCAAAACTGCTCATGCACCAGTAATTGCTTGATGGCTGATTATGGCGCCTTGCAGAAACAACTTGAACGCAAATTAATTTTTGACAGTAGAGCATAGACCGGGTGCACTTAATGGAACGACGTCATATCTATTGTAACAGATGGTTAAACCACAAGCATGCTTGTAACTGCTCAACTAATTTAGCTTTAAAACTAATTCAAAAAATTAGAATGATATGAAGTAAGAATGCAGTTTATCACTCGTTATATGTTAACCTTACCCAGATGTTTTCTGCATAAGCTTAAAATTTCTCACTTCAGGGAGTGAAGAAGACGAAGAAGCAATGCAACAACTGGTTTTGAATGCTCAGAATTTGATGCAATCAGTTAAAGACACTGTCAGAGCTGCTGAAGCTGCTTCAATCAAGATTCGTACAAACAGTGGATTAAGATTACGATGGATTCGTAAACCAATGTGGTCTAACTTTTAAAAATTACGACGCAATTAGACAACGATTTAGTAACCACGATAATCAGTTATCATCTATATACGTTTTCCTGTTACAAATTTGTGTGTCAGTCTGGGAAGCGAATTTACATAATGGCTTTTTTATCCAGACATTGCCCAAAACCCAAGGGTTTATTTTCTACGTTCTTAAAAATAAAAAAGAACCTCCGCAGTATGAAAAAATTAATCAAAACTTGCCAGCATTTAACAAGCAAAAATGTTTAGTGTTGATAGCTAGAAGTTAAAGCTAAAATCCTCGACTTACAGTGCCTCATCAGAAAGCGCTTCAGCGCTCCACTGCCATATTTCTGATAATCATTCACCGATGTCAATTTTTGAATCTTTTTTCATCGTTTTCATTTTTGTAACTTCCGTAAATTGAATGTCAAGAGTGCTTTACTATTCAAATTAATTTCCGTTATTATTCTACAGTTAATTTTGTGTCTACGTTTCTTTATCGCAAACTTTTATTTATGCTGCTAGTCGCCTTTCGCCTGCTACTGATCTAGATGCACTTTTGCACCTCCTTCGCTAAATGTCTCTAATTTACGAAATAACAGGATATAAAAACAGCTGCAAAAAACAAACTGTCTAAATGAGCAAACATTTAACATCAGTGCCTTAATTTCATGTTTCAAGCTTGTATCTTATGTTTTAACACAGTTCAAATATCATTAAAGCTTACTTTATTTCCATCTTGTTTACTTTTTCATATATACAGGGGTCAGAGTTCTTTGTACACAGTTAAATACACAAATAAAAGCATTCAGATCACCTTTGCTTCATCAAACTGCTTCCGAGCTTTCTTTAGTTCTTCACTCATAGACAACAAGTCCTTTACGCGACCGAATTTTTTAGCGTCACGTCGTATTAGATAATGTATATCTTCTAAGGCAATTTTGCCAGGTTTACCGACTTCAAGTGCTCGTTGGCACATACCTCGGACATATTCTACTACTATTACTTCCAGTAACTCCAAAGTTTTATCATATGGTACCTAAACGACAAAAATTTTACTGGCTCCAAAGTTGGCGTCAGCAGCTACAGCTCACTTATACTGCACTATGATTATAGGACCTGCTCAAATTCTATCTAAAAAATCAAATTTAAAAAAGACGTCAAGATAAAATAACATGTCATGAATCAGCTGCACTGGAAAAAATGTGAGAAAAAAGAAATAATCTTTAGAGACCTTGTCGTCACCGAAGCCATAAATCATCGTTCTTAGCTCTTTCCGAAACAACCACTTTTTATCCTCTGGATTTTCTCTTTTCCTATCATCATCTTCTTCATCCGACCCGAACAAACTGCTCTCATCATCAAGCATACTCTGGAAGAACAAAGTTCACTCTGTCACAGATGATTACCTAAATATTTACAATGTTATCCGCAAATACCTCCATACACATTAAACAAAGTAATAATAAGGGTTACAGGAAAGAAAACGACAGTAAAGAACATATTCAACTAGAATACAGTCAAATGAGTTTCAACAACGACTACAGAACACTGAAAAACACTTAAAAATACTAGGAAATTTATACACACACTGTTCACAAAACACTTCTACGCTAACAAGCCCATAAGAAAAAAATTTTTTAACCACATTTCATTATGAACTGCACACCTCATCTACAGACATACCAACTAAACAACTTCTCAAAAATTCTTACTCTTGTCTAGAGAAAGGACCTCTGTCTCTAAACAAACAGTATATTTCTCTTAGACATTCTAAGCATCTTATTAAAAAAAAAAAAAAAAATCAGGTAACAAAAGAGGTAAGAGGTAAATTATGTCAATGCTTCAAAAAAGTATAAAACTTGAAAGCAATGTACGCATCAAAATTGCAGCAGTGTCAAGAATTTCTACTGACTGTTTCAATCACTCCTAACTGCTCAAAAAATAAGACCCAATTCGAGGGAAGAGAAACTAATTCAAAAAGTTAATGTAATATGGGATTCACTTGCGTATACCATAATCTGAGTTTGGATCCATCTTCCGTATCTTCACCCTGTTTCATCTCTCCAGAAGATATCTAAAACATTCATTATCTGCTGCCGATAACTCTCCCCGCAGATATTCTTAGTACTCTTAAATTTGTAAATTCCACTGGAGACTCTCGCTAACACAAGTTCACTCAATTTCTAATTGTAAGGAAATGCACGAAACTAACAAGAGAAAGTCAAGTCACCACCTGTCAGCTCCAGCCTAGTATCTGTTTTGCCAGAGTTAGGCAGCTTAAAATGGAAGAACAAGTAATCCAAATACTACTTACCAGCCCTATTGAAAAACCAAATTAATCTTCTCACTTCTGATTCAAACTAAATGGATAGCAAAAAGGTTAACCATTTAGAGATAACCTTTTAATTACGGCAAAAGGATGTCGCTAGCGGCGGTGAAAGGATTGGGCTGTGGAAAAACCACATTGAGCCAACAATCACTGCTAAATTCAAAAGCCGTAAATCCACTATGGCTAAACAACAGCTTACCAGATAACCAACTTTTCTAAGCTTTTAAAAAAGTAGTAATTTTCATCCTAAAGCCTCAAAACTGCTGGTGGCCCCTCTCCAGCTGCAACATTTATAACCTCCGGAGCAGAACAGCAATGGCGAATATTTTTTGTCCTCTGACCACTGTAAACCTAACCAAAAATCGCCGTTGAAAGTAGAGCTATGCATTC